CCAAAAAAGCTTTCACTAGACTAGAAAGGAGCTAGATTATCTGTCTTTATTTATTACTGTATTTGTATTTCATATTATGAACTTTATATAAACTTGCTTAGACCCTTTGAACTGAAAGTAAGGATGGGCACTAGGCAACTTATACATTTGCTTAGAATCAATTACAACTACTATGTTTTCTTGTTTTAATGATATTGATATCCAAAACTCATCTATCGTTGTTAAAAATGTAAAGATTGACTTAAGATTCCCCCTTACCCCTGGCTAAGAAGCACTGCTCTAGAAACCTAGTGCCCGACAATCGAAAAGAAACAGGACCAAGTACGATTTTGAAGATGGTAAAGCCTTGTGAAATGCTGGTATAACAATTCCCTGATACAAATGTAGATTATTTTGGTGCCTTTGTACATAATCATTCTCAGAAATACTGCACCCTCTTGCACTAGCCTTCTTCGAACAGCTCTAACCCAATGTTAAATAAAGATTAAATTAGGCCAAGATAAAAGAAGGTGTCAGCCCAGTGTTAATGGACTGGATATATTCTCATGCCAAGCCTGCGGGTAAGTAAAGATAGACAAAGACAATAATGTCATGTCAGGCAGCGGGAGCATGTGGGCTATGCTACACGCGTCAATGGCCTCAGATTAGCTTACACACTAACAGGTCTCTGAGGGTCTGGAACAGGATAGGAAGCGAAACAAAAATACTGACTTTGAACTTGTCACATGAACTCTGTAGTGAAACTGCTTGGGTCAGTGTTGATAGCACAGTCACAACACATTGTGGTTTCTTATGGAGGGCAGAGCGCTCTGGCCTGTAGGCAACTGTGGGTCCTATTACCCTGGACGGTGTGCCACAGAGAGCTGTCAGTCTGAATTATACATCGTCTTTGTTCATCCTTAACCCAAGAGCACTGGAGACAGCCGTGGATCATGTTTACACTCATCCGCACAGTAAAACATGTATGAAGCTGATGGGTAGCTAAAAAAGTGCACCAGGACAATTAAATGCTTCTACTTACAGGTGCACTAAGTCACTTTTCCAGTGGAGAGTGTTCAACCGGCTTGTTTCCATGGAGATAGTAATGTTTGCCTGGGGTGTTCCATAATATGGCATAAATTTATTCATATTTATACCATTGCAGATGTTTCTATTTCTAATTAAAAAAAAAAGAACATTTGCGTTTACTATGAGTGGGCTCGCCTCTCCATAGATCTGACGCGTAACTTGACCTGAGTTGAGGGCATCACCTACTTGTCTCCACGTTAACGTTTAATGCCATACCACATAACATTACAGACATGGAGAGCACCGAAATTTTAGTACATCTGTAAGAAGTACGTTTATGGCTGAAACTTTATAATTTGGAGAAAAATCTAAAAACAAAAACATCCAACAGATTATATTCAGTATCTACACTTTCTAGGAAGTATAAATAACTGAATAAAGTCAAAATATATTATGCAAATATCGCAGACAGAAGAGAGACTAGAAGAGAGTTTCTTGGTGCTGACCTGCAAGTAATCAAAGTTATGCAAACAGCCAGTGCACTGTTTGGCGAACTTCAAATCACCAGGGAAATCAAGAAGTGAAAAATGGAAGGGGAATTGGGTTTGGAGCAAGCTCTGCTGTGGCAGTCTCACACAGCGCAGACAGACAGGCAGGTAAACACATTTGCATTTGGTTATTTTTTGCATTTCAGATCTGAAGTCAATATTGGTTAAATTGTGTCTTGTTGAAGTAAAACTATTGAAAAGTTAAATAATTTAATCAAATCAGATGTTATGAAAAACACAAGTACATTATTAGATGATTGTATCGGTTTCAGATAACACTTTTCACGTTACTCAAAGATGCTTCACAAGCGTAAGACAAACACATTTCACATGCATTTATTGTTATGTATCTATTTTCATTCAAGTACAGTTCTTTTTAATGCTCAAAAAAGTATTCTACTGTAAGTGAGCTCCCCTGTAACTTAACCTGGTGGCGCCACTTGCTTGTCTACTTGACGATAAATAAGTTTAATGCCATACTGTGGAACATTTCAGGCAATTACATCTCCTTGGAGACACTTAGTCCCTCATCCATCATAAGCAGTCAATCAATAACCTCTCATTTATTGTTCTCTCTTCATTTTGAGTTAGCAAATTAACAAACTACTAATGGCCTATCGAGCTGCACTAAACCAACAATCAATATCTGCCTTGCTGGTTCCTGCTCTTCATCACATATAACAGCACATAGATGGCCTCACAGTTATGGAGATAAATACTGAAGAGTGTATCAAACAAGCTTAATCCACTAATGAGAGTCCGTCTGTTATTGTGTAACTGTGTAAAACGCAGTCGCACACAGAATAGGTCAGTGGCTGAGATCTGAGCTCTCTCATTATGTTAATGAGGTCTGGCACCACGGCAGACCCATGTGTGAGACCACGCTGCGTATCCACTACGGCTTCACTGGGTTTACATAACACACAGATAAACCGTCAAAAATACTACGGTCAAATGTAAGGATGATATGATGAGAACTAAGAGGAGAGCAGGGAACGGCACTGTGTTATCAAGCGGCTATAATGGAGACCAACGCTAAATACATCAGTGTTACACTCTTCCAGTGTAATGGTTCATAAAACTGAAGTATATGAAGACAATAATATTAGAGTATCACAGTCATTTCCATTTACTCTATTTACAGTTATTACTCCAAAACGTTTGGTATTACACACATTAATGTAGAGACTGCTTGAATAATGGGCCTCGTGTCCACAATAAAGATTTGAATTGAACAATGTTGTATAGTAAAGTGCAGACATACCTTCCCATTTAATGTTTTTCTTTATGTCTACTACTTTCTACATTGTAGACATCCTGAAGACATCAAATACGTGTAGCAAGATGTATGGAATTATATATATATATTTTAAATGTATCTCTATTTATGTTTTATATTTTAGTTTCAGGTTCCTCCATCCTTTGCTTTAATGACAGTGCTGCAAACCCTTGACCTTCTCTCAGTGAGCTTCATGATGAAGTCACCTGAAATGGTTTTCACTTCACTGATGTGTCAGGGTTTGCTGTTGAGAACAGTGTGCAGCGGTGATCAAAGCACAGTGTGGCTATTTTGACAAATCTACAATACAACATATTTTTAACACATTTTTGTTTATTATATACCATATGTGTTTATTAATGGTTTTGATGCCTTCAGCAGAAATCTATTATGGAAATATTCATAAAAATAACAAAACAATAAAAAAATCAAAAATAGTCTGTCCAAACTTTTCACTGGTAATGTATGTACATAGTTCACCCTGAAGTGTAGTTTTTTCCAGGGTCTCACTGCAGCCCATATGAACCAGGGACTTACATTTGGTGATGTGTGGGGCCAGTTGGCAGCCACAGCAGAAGCTTGGCTCGGCTTTTTGCTTCATCTTTGTTGTTGATGTGTGCCTGGCTAGCACAGCTAATGCTATTCATTACGACTGGTGCAGTTGACACTTAGAACACATGATTAATGCATTCAGAGTTCTTTGCTAGGGGGAAATGAAAAATTCTCACCAGTCTATCAAGTTAACCTCCTCCTAGGTCCAATCTTGTCCTTATCTGGGGCCGGTACACGCAGGAAAATGTGAAAAATATCAAAAGCATGGCCTAAATGTTCAAACTGCAAAGCAAGCTGTCATTTTGGAAGAATTTTATTAACAACATCACAGATGGAATAAAACATCCAGTAAAACCAAAATGGATATATATTTTAGGGAACAAAATAAAAAAATGAATTTCTATGTTTGAGGCAAATACTAGCATCTCTTAAAACTTTACAACCCCAAACAACCTTGAGAAATATGCACCACATCCATGCTAGTTTGATGATGTCAGGTATAAAGAGAGTTATGAGCTCCTTGTCATGTTTGTCATGCCTAGAGCTCACTCCTCTTCTTTGATCAGTAAATTAAACTGAAAGCAGTGCCAAACAAGCCTTCACCGATCTGAACTTGATAACAGCGTGAGGCTCTTCAGTCTGTGGCTGAATTGGCAGGTTTGTTTATTTTAGCCTCCTCAGCTCCACGTGCTGCTCGCCATTCTCTGTGTCCTCTGTGTGTCTAAGGACACTTGTAGAGATGCAATGCACACATGAATGACCTTCAGTAAAACACTTGGTTACTGTTGAAGAAAAGAACCTCAAGTTAAAAGCTCATGATATCATCTTGAAGAGGCAAATTTGAGATATTCTGTTGTCCACTATTATAAGGAGGAGAAGTCAGAAAATATAAATCAAAACTATATAACTTCAGCAGTCATTGGTAAATGCCTGGCTTTAAAAAAATCTAATAAAAATATATCCACAAAATAGCTTTTGCAGTTGTTGCCGTGTTATTACTGAATATCAGCTGGTTGATGCCAATAACAGCAATCATTTAGTCTCACATTGTAAGATGTGAGTATATTAACTGCCCCTGTGTGACCTTATTTTACCATTTGGACCGAGTAGTGTATGTTTGGCCTTCAATGAAAAAAGAACAGGAGTGTGTGGATGACAGGAAATCCATAATGTTGCTCAATTACAAGGTGCACTACGTCTGTATGCGTGTGGAGTGTATAAATAGAAGTACACCACATGAATCGATTAGACATTAACTACATGAAGGTCAAGGTTTACTTTGTACTGTCTGAAATAATGGCGTGAGATGCAGTCTCGCTGATATCATTGATGGCACAGTTGCATATTGACACAGTGACTCAGTCGTAATTATAAAACAATTCAAATTATTAAAGCAATTTGTTTTGAAACAAGTGCCATTGTCTCATGTTACTCTGAGCCTCACACATAATGTGTTGAGGGGGCGGAGGAAGAAAGGGACAGAATTAGCACAGAGGATCGAGGGAGGGGGTTCCCTCAGCTACAGGGCAATATAAATAAACCAGTGTGTTATGGTGATGTGCTGTGTTTATGGTCAAAGATGGAGCACGAGAAAAGAAGACGTGAATACTCACCATTAGGAAGTTTATGGCTGTTTTCCATGAGCCAGGTGAACAGGTTTGCAAAGTTGCAGTTACAAACCCAAGGGTTGCCCTCTAGTCTAACCACTCTCAGGGAGGGCAGCTGGCTCAGTGCCCCCACCTTTAGGGTGGATAATGCATTACGCTCCAGTTCGAGTTCTCTTAAAGAGGTGAGGCCAGAGAAAGCGTCCTCACTGACCATGCTCAGATAAGGGTTGTTGCCTAGACGGAGTTTGATCAAGCTACGGGACTCCCCAAAGGTGCCTTTAGGGATTTCAGTCAAATTATTACTACCTAAGTCCAGGAAGACCAGCCTGGAGGATGTGCTTAAGGTCCCAGGTTCAATCTGGGACAGGGTGTTGTTCCGGAGGTCCAAATAAACCAAGTCACTGTACAGAACTAGAAAGTCCGAGGGGATGCGTGGGATCCAGTTATCAGCCAGTAAAAGACGGCGGACATCCAGTGGGATCTCCTCAGGAAGACGGGTCAGTCCACGGCCACTGCAGTCCACAGTGTGGGGGTCTGGGCACAAGCAGCTGGAGGGGCAGTTGTCTGCCCGTGACCAGAACACAGAGGACAGAGAGAGGAGGATCAGCCGCAGCCAGCGGACGCATGGCAACATGGTCAGGGGCACGAAGACTGGGGGAAGGGTGGGTTTAGGGCAAGGATCCACAGAATACTCAGGGTAAGCCGGGTGACACACAAGAGGGAAGGGTCAAAGGGCAAGAGGGAAGGGGGTGGAGGGGTGAAAGAGATCAATTCTGAGTTAAAAGCATTATGATGCCACAACAAACCACAATGAGCTCGGGAGCGTAATAGTACAAAGTGTGTGTTTTAGAAGATCATGTAACAGGCTGAAGCAGACAGGGACACAGGAGGAAGCAGACCCTCGGAGAGAGGGAGGGAGAGACGTAAACAGAGCCAGCAGACTGATGAGAGCCCGGGGCACACACGAAGGACAGGGGAGAGGAGGGGGTCTGTCAGCCACACACTATGCCACCGTTGACCCGACGCCACAGATCCACAAAGACTATAAGGTCTCTGACACAAAAGGATAAGCAGACATGTAGATCAGGCATGCCAAGGCGAGAATAACATGGCAGCATCCCTCCACTGAGTCCCAGTGTGCGTATGGATAAGCCAGGCGCTGTAAAATGACACACGAGAGAAGCCCACGCTACATTGCTCAAGTGTGCAGTAAGGTTATCCCCCCTGTTTATTCCCTGGCTGTCTCCCGATGCCCCGCGACATGCTGAGAACAAAAAGCTCCGTCGTCCAGCCGCGTGTCAGAGCTGCGTTGTCGTGGAGAAAGGATCCAGTCGTGCACAGAGCAGAGCAGAGCTGCACTCAGCCATGCCAATCTCTCCACTGCCTCCGAAGCTTCTACTGTGTCTCTCATGCCCTCTCCCCTCGCCTTATTTCCAAGAGGCGGGTCTGAATCACGCTGTCAACATGTGATGTCACTTCCTATAGTGTGGGAATAAATGACAAAAAGGAAAACGAACTAGAAAAAAGCAACACTGATGATGTTAACTACTTCAATAAAATAAGTTAACTATAATATTTGTGCAGTTATCTTTTAATAAATGTACTCTTTGACAAATGTTTTTTAAATATACAACATTAACCTTGTTAAGAATCTTGTTAAATCCACACAAGGTACTTGAACTGTTTTCATGTAGGTCACCTTTTCTGACAAGAAAGGGAACTGAAAGGAATATGTATTTATAGATGCACACATAGATGCATCTGTCATGTTATTTATGGTTAAATATACACAGGTGGGCTCAGGAGCTTGAAAGCAAAGATGGGTGATTAATAGAAAACATGCATTAAGTGTCCCAAATGGGATTTGCTCCAACAGCTAAATGCAATTAGACCAAGACTGTTGCATGGAGACAGTGAACAAGTCCAGGAGAGACAAGGTTAGACTTAGCATGAAATCTCTAATGAAGTCTGGAGCCTTGTCTTCATGCCACAGGGACAGGACGCTATAAATCACAGAGGAAGATTGTGATGACATTTGGAAAGCTGCTTTAAAAAGAACAACTGAGAAAAGGGCTTATCTTTTTTTCCATAAAGGGAGGTTTTCTAACTGAGGAAATACATTAGGTCACACTAAGGCAAAGGACCATTATGGACCATGTTAGTGGACACTGGCAAGAGGTGGAAGTCGTCTCACCTCACAACAAGAAGGTCCCAGGTGTGGGTGCAGCAGAGGTTTTCAGAGTTTAAACTATATGTTCTCTCCCTAAAACACGCATTCGACTAAAAGATTTTTTGGAATCTCTAAAGCACCAACAGATGATAGATGTTAAATTCACTTTTGGCCTGTACTGTGAAATGACTGGATTGCAGATGACCTCACGGTGGGAGATGCATACTAAATGAGACGTCACACTGGCCTGCTTCTGTCAGCTTGCTATTAGGTGAGATACTGCTATGAAATGGATATAAAGACACTCAGAATGGAGATGGCTCACATTGAGATGCATCTAGAACACCACCAGCAGGAGGATAGAATGGCCACCAGATGTCTGCTCTCCAAATGCATTTTCTTTATTTGTGTGCATGTGTGTGTGTGTTCAAACTGTTAGGAAATACTGGTCGGACCCAAATATGCAGAAACAAAGGTATTTATTAACAAAAATAGACTAGGAAGGGGGATAGGTTCCAGGGGAGGCAGGACGGGTCGAGGTCGGCTGCAGATGCGAAGTATGTGGTGATGAAGGCTGACCAGAGGCTTGCGGAACAGGTGGCAACGGGATGAGGCTGGGTCCAAACGGAAGAACTGGGGATCGGACAAAAGAGACAGGTAAGAATCAAAAAAATCTTCAGAATGCTCGAAAAACACACAAAAAGCCTGAGTTGTTCACCACTGGAATGACAGAACGATCCGGCACTGGAGAGAAGGTCAGCAGGTCCTTTAAGGCAGGCGATGATTAGTTGATGCGTATCAAGCTCAGCAGGTGCATGATTGGGATCCGCCCAGGAAACACCAAATAGGGTAAGGAGGGGTAGGAGGGGCAGGATGAAACCCTCTCACAAACATCATGCACTGCACCTCTTCTTTTTTTAAAATAAATGTTACATCAGCATCTCAAATCTTTACTCTTTATTTATTCAGTTGTTTTAAATTATAGGTCTAAACTAAATGCTTGCTTGAGTTGAACTGACAGAAACTGAACTGAACTAGATGATTAGTAGATTTTGTTCACTATCAATTAACTGCAGTTTCAGTTTATATTATTTCCTAAGCACCCAGCATACACCATGTATACAGCTAGTTTAACAATTAACAAGACTTAGTGACAAAAAAAGGTTAAAAATGTAATGTGTATCTTACAGTAGCTTCTGTTACAAAACATAAAGCTCGCTAATGTCAACATAATACATCTTCGGCATAATTACATTTCTCCTGGTGAGAGAAAGGAGCAAAAACAAGCCCCTGTTTATGAGATACAGGTTAATGAAGCAGCGGTAATGTAATTCTGTGGCTGAAAGCTTTATAGGCTGTGTCTTACAGGGCCTGTGCAAGTAGAATCCATTTTGTTTCAGGGTTTTGCTTTGCACAAATGTGTTTATGGTTTCACAAATGAGTGCAATACAAGTGACTCCGTATAAGATGCTCTTTCAACAAGACCACGCAAGGAATTACAAACAGAATATAGTCAACAAATTGCCAATAATAATAAATATTCATAGTAATGCATGATGATAATGATGGTTTTTAGTGCTTAAAAAAAGACAGCACCTCTACCAAAATACAGTGTAAATTTGATTTTGTATGCAACGTGGAATAGTGGAGTTTGGGGGCAACAATGGTGAAGGCTCTGTCCCCCAAGGTCCAGTACTATGATTTATGTCTGGGAGTGAGGAGGTGGTGACAGGAGGGGCTGGATTAGGTCAGAAAGGTCTAGAGGGCCCTGTTAGTTTGAGAAAATTGGTAGTCATCCAGAATGTTATTGCTCAGCAGTTGGCGATGGTGGAGACCGTAGCAGATGTGATGATTTGTTTTTTTTTACAGTTGTGTATCACTGGCGTAACTGTGGAATTTTAGTCTCTGACAGTGAATGATGTAAGTCCGAGCCTGTACGTAATAAACAGTGGTGGGCCGAGCTCCGAGCCTTGAGGGACTCCACGGGTGACTGGGATGGTGTGGGATTTGCAGTTGTTGATGGAGATGTGTACTGTGATCTGTAGGGTTAGAGAGAACAGAACTGTACTGCAGATAGTGGAGTACAAAGTGGTCTATAGTGGTGAAGTAAGTCTTTAGTAAGTCTTTATTTATATAACGCTTTTCACAGATATTTTTTGTCCCCAAAGTCACTTTACAGAGCATTATTCAGCATTATTCATTCACTCCATACCTGGTGATGGTAAACTACTATTGTAGCCACAGCTGCCCTGGGGCACACTGACAGAAGCGCGGCTGCCATGCCAATCGGCGCCAACAGTCCCTCCGACCACCACCATCACTCACGCACACACTACTTTCATACTAGGCAATGTGGGTGAAGTGTCTTGCCTAAGGACACACAGTGATTGAATTGATTGTATTTAACTGACCTTGACTATCAACTGTTCTGGAGACCTGTAGCATGTTTTGGGTTGATGGGGGAAACTGGAGCGCCCGGAGGAAACCCATCCAGACACGGTGAGAAACATACAAACTCCACACAGAAAGACCCAGGCGACCCGGGGATCGAACACAGAACCTTCTTGCTGTGAGGCATGAGTGCAAGGCATGTGGTGAAGGCAGTAGAGAGGTCAAGGAGGAGGAGGATGGAAACCAGAATCTAAGGTAAGAAGGCAGTCACTGGTGATTTTAATGATGAAATTCCTGTACTGTGGGGAGTGCGAAAAGATTGAACATTTCCATAAATATTGGATTGGAAATATTGATTGGAGTGAAAGTGTTATTTCAGTTGGGAAGTAAAAGAATGTTTAAGGATTTTTGCAAGTAGGGGGATGTTAGAGATGGGACAGAAGTTGTCAAAGGATTGTATTTTTCATGAAGAGGACATGCAGTGACTGATTACACTGATATTTACACTTATATTGCACTGTGCAACTCAACTTGTCCATGTCCTTGACTTCCTGCTGTGACACTAACAAACTGTGCAAACAAATCTTATGTTAGACCCCACAAAACAATAGTCTGAACAAGTCCATTCCGCTAGAGCAGCATACCAAGGTGCTAAAGGTGTAAATGTATCAGGGATGTAAAACTAGCCCGCGTCTGAGGTTTTAGTGACCTTGTTGGTACAAAGTTGTGGCCTGTTCGCCTCAATGACCTGCTCAAGTGTTTGGGATACATGTCATAGGGATAGCTGTATCAGACAGGCGAGGCATGAATGCACAAAAACAATCTAGGAGCACATGAACAGACATTATGTAATCAACCACGACTAAAGAAACTTAATATGTGACTATATTCTGAAAGTTTGTAGACATAACTCTCCTGACCTCAATTAGTGAATGCATACTAATGTCTACATCGTGAGGTTTGCTATGACAATGCCACGTGAAAGTCTTCTGACCACCAGCTCGACCTCTGACCTCCTGAAGCTAAAATTAACCATCCACAGCTGTACAGGGGCAAATTAATCCCACTGCAGATAAAGATTAGACAAGAAAAGGATATATTCTGAGTAAGAGGTGAAATGAGAGTGTGGTCCACAGAGCACACTTAGAGGGATTTGTGGAGCTTTGTGGGGTTTACACTTGTTTTTATATTCACAGAGTAAATCATTATAGCATTATCACAACACATACAAGAATCTCCATGTTTAATGATATGAAGCACGTGTCTATCAAACATGTCACTGACAACATTGTGGCTCTATAGATACAGTTCCACAGCTGAGAAGTGTAGGAAAAGTATTGAAAAAAGTGAAACACTATTCTGTTATTGTCCTATCGGTCAAGGTTTACAGATTGATTTACATTCCCATTTCCTATCCCCTAATGTGTCCCCTAAAGTGCTTTCTTCTGCTCTTTATTTTAAGACAGAAAAGTCCATACTTCTGCGTAAAGAAAAGGTCAAGCACTTCCATCCACATCACCATGTTTCATTTGCTTTGGTATGTTTTTGCTTTTGGCTGCTTCTGCCAAAACTACAATGCCATCATCATGAGATACTCCCCCATCACAAAGACACTCCCCCTTTGGAGCATTGTTGTGTACAGTTTTGTATCATGCGTTTGAATATTTATGGAGAATTGTTGTGTGGGAGCATGAGAGATGCAG